TTTACCCACTTTCTCATGAACAAAACACAATGTCACATCTGTTTGATGGAACTGAGGGGTTGCATGCACATGCCTGCTGCAAATAATCACATTTATTCACTGAAGTACAATATTATTCCATACCAAGATAGCTGATACTATTGCCTATACAATGAACCTCAATAGTCTCAAGCTCCAGTGATTCCACAATTCAGGGTTTCGATGCAAATGAACTGATGTCTGCTTCATATTTAAACAGCTACACTGTTGAGTGGAGGACTCATCACCAGTTCAGCCTTCATATAAACCATGTTCACTTCATTTCTCTTGCTGTTGCTGGCTGCTGTGTCTTGTAAGTAAATCCCCTGAACAAAACAAACTGTTTTCTAAGTGTAAATAAATACATATTCATAATTATTTTTTAAATGTTGTGTTTATCCACAGGTATTGACTGTCAGGTTGTGCTCACACAGTCTGAACAGTCAGTAGTTGTGGCTCCAGGTGCTTCCTACAAACTGACCTGTGCCTGCAGTGGGTTTACTGTTAGTGGCACTTACATGCACTGGATCCGTCAGGCCCCTGGAAAAGGACTGGAATGGATTATTTATTATTATGATGATAATAATAAGAACTCAGCTCAGTCAGTGCAGGGCAGATTCACAGCATCCTCGGACAGCTCTAATCTCTATCTGAATATGAATCAGCTGAAGACTGAAGACACTGCAGTGTATTACTGTGCAACAGGGACACAGTGGAAACACAAATACAGGGCAGCTGTTCAAAAACTCATCATGAGAAATGGGGCGGACATCCAAGTTACGCAAGCTGAACATCTTGCAATCCTTACCCCACAAAATAAGCATGACACTGATACTACACTCTAAAAAATGCTGGGTTAAAACAACCCAATTTGGGTTATTTTGGCAATCCAATGCTGGGTCAAATATGGACAAACCCAGCGTTGGGTTATTTTAACCCAGCCGGTTGGGTTAAATCTTTGACCCAACATGCTGGGTTGTTTTATTTAACTCAACTATTGATTAAAATGACTACATTGCTGGTTAAAAACAAACCTGAAATAGGTTTAATAATAATGATAGTAATAAAAAAATTAAAAAACAGTAATAATCAAAAGGTAAAAATGTATTAATAAAAAAGAACATCCAAATGTAAGACAAAAGAAAGCATATATAATTTATATAGGAAAAAGCATGATATATTTTCATGCTCAATGAACAATAAAACAGCATATAAAACATTTAAATCCAATTTCCGTTTTATAAATATAAAAATAAATAAATAACATCAATAAATTACATTAGCTTCGATTTTAACATTTACATTATATACACAAACACACAAGTAAAATGCTTCATATATATTAGTTTGACGACTTTCCCCTTCATATAAACTCACATAGCTGTTTAGAGAGTAAGTTTAACAAAGAGGCACAAGAACACAGTGGCACAAGTAAAATGCTTTAGATATATGTGTTAGTCTGACAACTTTCCTCATCATATAAACTCGCATAACATTTTAGAGAGGGTTAGTTGTCATGGTTCCAGTACTGCTCAACATGACAAATATTCACGGAGCAGTCTTACTGAAGGAGATTCTGTTCCAGGGAGTTTGAAGACAACAGTCTGCAAAAATTCCCACGCTGGTGCGCACTGCTTCGGGAAATGGATGTCCAAAACATAAAAAAGTTTAAAGCATGTGTTCACATGCAGCACCAAGGAGTGTGTTTTGCTGCAGTGCCTGTTTGCCAACAACAACAAAGGCTTGATGGCACTGACTGTCATCCCCAAGACCAAGGACAGAGGGGAAGGGTTTAGTGAGCTCAGCCTCCTTCAAGTATTCAACCATGTTGGTCCCAACCTGTTAAAAACAGAAGAATGTTAAAAACATACAACTCACTATACATTCACAATGCAGCATTATAAAACAAAATCAATCATTAATATTTTATATATCGTGCAGTTGACTCAAATTACATTCTACATTAATTTGCATAATTAGTCCTTCAGTCTTTATAGGGTGCTTCTCAAATGGAAGGTTGCATCCTAGTAAGGCTGTATCTGTCCATGTCCAGTCCTTCTGAGGCTTCTAGGCTATAGAGTCCTGCTCAGTATTAAATGCTACAATGAGTTTTAATGCATACCTGCCAGCCAATCAGAATCGAGAATTCAGGCAGACCATGGTATAAATGAAAATATAACACTGTAATCTTGTGTTTACAGTCTCAACTGTAAAGTTTTTACTCCCAGGGCATAGTATTAAATTATAAAAAGTTTATGTCCTTCTGTCTGTCCTTAAATTATATCATCCCCAAAGACTTGTCACAATATAGTAATTTTGAATTCATTCATTTTGCTTAATAAAGAACATTTGAGAGAAATTAAGAATAGGCCTGCCTTTAACCCTATTAAGCACTGGCAACCAGGATGAGATTTACATGGGCAAACACTACCAACTATTCCTTTAGAAAATGCAAAAGTCTAGTTTGATGTGTTGTTTCAAATGAATTATTACTGCATAATTGAAGAGTTTATAAAATTTCAATAGGTGTCACTGTGGATAAGAAGTATCAGCTATTAACACAATAGCAGTGATACAAGATATCAATAAATAGGAAAAACAAACACTATGCTAAATATTTTTACAGAGGTTCATAAGCACAGAAAAATGTAAATGTCCCTTTAGAGGGCACACTATGCAAACCCACTTCTCCTTGTCTTTAAAAAGTCTCCACTCTTTTTATCTCCAGAGACAAACTTGTTTGTGACTTTGATGCATCAGCTTCCTCTTTTTATAACATGACAATGGATATTGTGCCTAAACTGGGTTTTATCTTCATGTTTGCTCTCACAGAATGTAAGAAGGACTCTTGAAAATCTGTTGTGACAATCAGACTTACTCATGTGTGCTGTAAATGTTAATGTTGAACAATGTTTAACATTAACCATGTTAACTGTTTGTTTTTCAGTCTGTTGGTGTCAAACACTGACTGAGTCTGAGTCAGTGGTCATTAAACCTGGAGGATCTCACAGACTCACCTGTACATTCTCTGGATTTAGTAGTGACCCAGACTTAGCTTGGATCAGACAGACTGCAGGAGGAGGTCTGGAGTGGCTGGCATACATCTCTGGTGGTAGTAGTTATATACACTACTCTCAGTCTGTTCAGGGACGCTTCACCATCTCCAGAGACAACAGCAAGAAACAGATGTATCTGCAGATGAATAATATGAAGAATGAAGACACTGCTGTATATTATTGTGCAAGAGAGACACAGTGATGAATACAGCTACAGCACTGCACAAAATCTGAGAACAAACAACTCTATATTCCATTTCTCATTCCTTAAACAAAAATTGATTGGAAAGATTGATGTAACCCTTTACAATACGGGTGTAATGTAGAACATTCCAGCACCAGTCTTCCAACAACCATCCATAAACCTACTATCAGCTAACAGAACTTAAAAGCAAAATATTAACCATCAGCAATATCGTACACATCTAAAAATGACAGATTGAAAGTAAGATCTACCAGAAAGATTCTAATGCATGTCATTCATTGATAATTATTAACCCAAACAGAGAAGTCACTGCTTGACACTTGAAGTGTATAAGTACTGAACTTTTTTCAGTACTTATACACTGAAATACACGCTGACGTTCCCCTCTTTCCTCCCCACCACCACCAGATTGTTCCCTGTCCATCCGTCAGAGGGTAGACTCTGTCCCTGCCTTCATCTTCAGGCAGGACCAGCCAAATCTGCA